CAGGGGTAAGTCCCAGTCCTGTGGCACAGTCAGGTGATTGAGGCATGGGGCTTGGAAAGAGTTGCAGGGGTGAGATATTTCCCAGCTTCCTGCCCTGATCTGCCAGTGGGGCAGGGAGCTAAGGCCTGCCCTTCCCCTGCAGCACTTTCCAAGTCCCCTGCCCACAATTGAGGAGCTGGGGCCAGGAGCCCCATGCTGCCAAGGCAGGGGGGACATTGTCCCTGCCTCAACAGTAGGCAGTCCTCTGGGGGCAGGGGGCAGTGTCTCAGCCCTGGCCAGAAGACATCTGTCTTCTGGCCCAGTGCTCCCTGCCAGCCCCTTGGCAGAGCCTAGAGCTCCCCCCTGGTGGCACTAGGGGCCCATTGCAGGGCCCCAGGAAGCAGGAGCAGTTTGCTGCCATTAGCAGCAGATCTACTCCCAGGTCTCTGCACGTGGATGTCTGCCTGGGAGCATTGACACACAAGTAAGCCACTCCTGGATCTAATGCATGTGTAGACACACCCAGTCAGAATGATCTAAAGTTTAATATTTTTCTTACCACTTCAGACCTTCAACATTTTGCTTCATGCTCGGATGACCCATAGCAGCGGTTCCCAGTCTATGATACGTGTACCACCAGTGGTATGCAGACAACCTGTCAGTGGTACATATTAACAGATTTATTATAATTACTTTTATATGACAAAAAATTGCTGGTGGTACTTAAAGTTGTATCATTTTAAATTGGTGGTGTGCAATCTTTGAGAGTTTGGGAACCCCTGACTTATAGTATTCAGAATCCATGTATTAATATAAAAAATAGGAGTGGCCTGGAGAATCAAATTTAAGCTTTGCTGCCCCTGTTTATCATTTTGGGAAGATTCAAGAGTTGGAGCTGTCTTGTTGTTCTGGATAGGGAAAGAAGATGTTCCATTGTCCACCATCCAGTTAGTTCCCAGAATGCTGGGATTTCCTTGAGGACTTTTGTTTCAAAATATAAGTCTACATATTTATTAGATCAAGATGGCACTTTTAATCTCATCATGAGATTAAAAGGCACAGGTGGGCAAAATGTGGACTGTATGCAGCCCACCAGGCCATTCTATCTGGCCCATGGGGCCCCCCAAAATTTAGAAAAAATAATATTTATCTGCCCCTGGCTGCCTGTCATGCGGCCTTCAGTGGCTTGCCAAAACTGAGTAAGCAGCCCTCCTCCCAAAATAATTGCCTACCCCTGGTATAAGGTGTGCATTCTAGTTCACACTATGAAGTTAACCAACGTTCCACAAACAAGTGAGTTGAAAGTTTATAAGTAAGGTTACATTAAATAAAATGTTTTTGGTAAGAAATGCATGTATGCATCTGTGATGCTAGTCTTGTTAAGTGTAACCATTTAAATACAAGGAAACACCTGTATTGAGGCAGTTTCCTTGTTCTTTATTCTATCTACCATCATTTGTAATGGTCAGTCCAATTACAGTATACTCTGTTTATACTCTTAAACAGTATGTGCACACTTACCTAAACTCGATGCAAGCAATGCTTATTAACCACAGAACCGTTTAAACTTTTCTGATCTTATTAAGGCTCCTCCTCTTATTACTTAGGGAGCCTTAGCCTCTCAATAGCAGGCTTGAAATTGACACGGTTTACTTAGTCTGTTTCACCAACTATGCACCTAAGCAGAGTACAGAGTAAACTGATGTTAAGAATTCCTATTGCTTGAGAGGAACCTATTCTTTACCTGGAGTTACAAGTTTCTACCTTTAAGTTACATTGGCCAAGTGGGATGTAGTGAATTTTTCAGTGAGCTATCAAGCCACCATGCTAGGAAAATAGTTTCTAGGGTCGGAAGGGACCTGAGAAGATCATCT